AAAAAAAAAAAAAAAAAAATCTGAGCAACATGTGGCTGAATGATCCTCAAGAGAGCCTGCCGATAGTCAATCTATAGAGGGGACACAGCAGTCATCTAATATACATTTCATTGTCTCAATGAAGGCTCCTCAACAGAGGCTTTCACTCAAGAAGCAAAAGCAAGGATCCTCAGGGTAGCTTGGATGCCCATCCAGTGAAACCAAGGCTGCTGGGAAACCCCTTTTCCAGAGAGTGGCATGTTGCCTATAGATAAAAGACTTATCTCTGACTTGGCTATACAGCCACTTCCATATAGTTTTCTGTTTTCTTACAAGTCTGAGAAGGAAATGCCCTTTCTTTGTTTAGATTTTTGTTATCTCTTAAAAGACAAAGATAATATTTTACACAAGTAAGAGAGAAACGGTAGCTTGAATGGCCTGCTCCATTTTCTGACCTGGCAAAGTTCAGCCAACCTCAGACAACCAGGTGTTCCTGTTTCTAGGGTTCCATAATGCTGATTAGTGTGTTCACTTAGCACAGGAGGGCAGGTCAGAATTCCTAAGATGAAGCAATTCTTAGGTACCTGAAGAAATCAGGTACCCTCTTGTATAGCTGAGACTGATCTACCATAGGGTGTGGCAACAATAAGACATTACACAAAGACAGCATACAATTCTCTGGATTGAGAGGATCTGAAGGGGAAGAAGCAGCCTAACACCACTCTCTTATTGCCTTTTCCCCTTCAGAGTGTATACATAACACAAGAATTTCTGCATAGCACTAACAAAGTGATAATTAAATCAAGTAACAGTTAGAAAAGAAGTGGGAAACTGTAGCAGTTGATATGTAAACACTAACAGCAGATGTCTGATTAAATGATCAATTAGGCTCCAAATTTCTCATCACCTTTTTTGTATACCTCTACTACACAGCTCTGAGTCCCTACCAGACACAAAGAAGGGATCCCAGTTTAAGGGCCAAGACCTTCCCCCAAAATATGTAGTGAAATGTATTTACAGATAAAACCATTAAGAAGTAATTTGGATCATTCTTAAACGGCAGCAAAGGCACTTGTACTTACCGAAATATGATGGGCATACATTGGCCTAGACAGGAAAAATGCTGCATCATGGGGTGTATGAAATTCATTACAGAGTACATCAATTGAAGGCACTCGCTTTATATAATCTTCTGTGCTCAGATTAGATGCTAAAAACCCGCCAAACTGCACCAGGGTATCATGACACTACATTTAAAAAATAAGACAAAATCAACATATTTTCCAAAGTGAGTAAGAAGTCATTTTAGGAATATTTTAACAATTAAGAATTGAAATTTTACGACTTAAAAAGACTTTAGAGACCATCTACAGATATAATCACATAATCATATTACAAAAAAGATGCCAAGGCCCTGACAGGTTGACTAACCCAAGGCTTTACAAGCCAACTAGGTCTCTTAAATGCCAAGCTGTATTTCATCACTTTTAGTGGAATATATTTACCTAAATCAAATAAGATAATAACCGTAGGCAAACAGAAGTCAATTCCTTTGCCCTTAAAAAAAGAAAACTTTATTTATAGAATGTATTTATAAATATCAAGTACCAAAACCTAAGATTGGCCCACAAAATGTGTTTAACTATCATCAACTATAACACAAAGAAAGAGATAGCAACCCAGCCTGCACAACATGGCAGAGCCCGAGTCTACAAAAAAATCTAAAACTTAGCCAGGTGAGGTGGTGCACGCCTATAGTCCTCAGCTACTCGGGAGGCTGAGGCAGGCTGATCACTTGAGCCAGGGAGGTCAAGGCTGCAGTGAGCTGAGATCATGCACTGCACTCCAGTCTGAGTAACAGAGTAAGGCCTTGCCTCAAAAAAAAAAAAAAAAAAAAAAAAAAAAAAAAAAAAAAAAAAAGACAAAAGAAAAGAGAGAGCGTGCACGAGTGATCAAACAAGCTATTCTATTACGACTAAGATTTCCAGACATCAGGAAAGATATAAATGCAAACAACCTGAAGTTGCAGGAATTTAATGATGTAATATTTAATTAATTGACAGTCTTACATAAAACATCTCTTGGAGCTAACTCTTAAATATCATAATTTACATAGAAATAGCCTCTATTTCCTGAATGTCTATTTCACATTAGATTAGGATGTCTCANTGTGCAAAAATGACATTTTTCAAATTATAACATCTTCCTTTAACAGGATTTAAAAAACGTACATAAACATAAAAGCCACTTTAACTTGCCTGGTCATAGAGCTTTCCCACAAGTTTCAAATGTTTCTCTCCACCTTCCTGAAAGATTACCCCATTCCTCTGCTGAGCCATAAGGAGACAGAGAGGAAGGGCAAGATCATGGTCCAACAGAGCATCCTTTAATCTCTGAGAGGATTTTTTAGTGTTTCTGATCTGACCAAAATAACCACCCTGCACAAGAGAAGACACAAATTTACTAATGTACAGTATATAACCCATGCTGTCTAATTTGATAAAGACATAGCAAAAAGTTGAGTTAAAATCCTTAATATAAAAACACTCCTACATTACACATTTCTTCCCTTACACAAATTTATTTTAGTGACTATTACTGACTACGGTCACTGGCTTAAAGACAAACATCAGCTGGATTTAAATTCTTGCATATTTTCCATTTCCCACCTTGCAGCCCCTCGTAAAGGATTATTAAATTATTCATTGTGGCACAGATTCAAAGGAGCAACTAAGATTTAAGGGAGTGAGGACACCAAGGATCACAGGAGACTTAGTAATTATTTGGTAATTATTTTATTTATTATTATTTTGTCATGGGGAGGAACACAGTCTTGCTCTCATTGCCCAGGCAATGGAGTAATCTTGGCTCACTGCAACCTCCGCCTCCTGGGTTCAAGCAATTCTCCTGACTCAGCCTCCCAAGTAGCTGGGATTACAGGCACCAGCCACCACACCCAGCTAATTTTTTGAATTTTTAGTAGAGATAGGGTTTTGCCATGTTGGCCAGGTTGGTCTCTAACTCCTGACCTCAGGTGATCCACCAGCCTCGGCCTCCCAAAGTGCTGGGATTACAGGGCATGAGCCACGGTGCCTGGCCTTAGTTGGTAACTACTTTCCTTACAGATGCATTACTTTTATATTTTGTTTCAGCTTTTTTTAAAAGTTAAAGTAATTACTGTATCTCAATTTCTAAAACGGAGTAGGGGTGATTGTGAAAGGAAGGCATGTATGGCTTTGACATTTGGTTTTATTAACTTACATATTGTTTGGATTCTTTACTATGATCACACATACATTATGAATTTTAAAAGTTGATGAACAAAAATAGCAATTCTTACCTCAGCTTTTAGCTGCTCTCCACCAGTCATGGCCTCTAGTTGCTCCATTGTCATTTCCTCTGTAATTTCTATTCCTGCCATTTTTTGCACCACTTCTTTCAATATAAGCAGGTCAAAACTATTCAAAAAGAAAAAAAACAGTCTACAGTTAGAACTTCAAATATAAAAATAATATACTGTAATTAATACACTGAGAATCCCTAAATTATTTGTATATGAATATGGGGGAAGAGGCTGAAGCAGTTTTTAAGGAACTGCATTCTTAGAACTATATTGTCAAATACTTGGTGTGTATGTTTATTTTAACTTTTACTTGGAAATAATTTCAAATTTACTGATAGGATGGAAAAATAAAAACAGTACAAAGCTCACCCATATATCCTTTACCTCAACTTCAACTAGTAACATTTTTAATCCTGCTTGATCATTTGCATTTTCTCTCCCTCTCTGAAGCCCCTCTCTACATACATAGTCACACACTCAATTTTTTAATCATTTGAGGGAAAATTATTTACATCATGGTCTTTTGCCCCTAAAATTTCTAAGACTGCATTTCCTAAGAGAGCTATTCTCTTACCTAAGCACAGCAGTTATCAATTTTAGTAAATCTAACACTGATACAATACTTTAATCAACCATTCATATTTCATTTTTTTGGTTGACCCAATGAAGTCCTTCATAGCATTTTTTTCTCCTCCAATACAGGACGGCCAAAATGTTTTTGAAGGTATAGAGCCATTCTAAATAGTCCACTTACTAAAAAGGGATAAAGATGTAGCATGGTCACATACACTTGGAAGAGAGGCAGGGAAAGAAGGAAAAAAAGAAGTTCTAAGTTGTGGTATCTGAGCCAAAGATGACAATTTAGTGGCCAGTCTGAAGCACATTTTTCAGTAATATGCCAACAGTTATGTTTTTTAATCTTCAAAGTTTAGGACTACCAATGGAAACAATACCTTATGTCCTCTAAGATCTTCTTTAGTTAATCTAAACAAAGTAAAAACATTCTCTCCTAAAAAATACAGATGTTTTTCCAAACATAAAGTTAGACATACCCAAGACACAAGCTAACAGATGAAGGAACCATTTTCTAAGATTCTTAAGTGTTCTCTCAACTTGCCTTGTTTTCCTTAGTTTTTCTTTTTTAAGAAAGCCCTCTTGGAAACTAGTATATAAGTACCAATGAAACAGTTTATTTTTCCTTTAAACTACGTTTCAATTAGATGGTCACAAACACTGTATTCACAGTACAGAAAGCTGAGTTATAGATTAAAAAACAATGTATGTTCTGCTGGCCTAAAGACAAAGAAGAATAAAAATACGTAGAAATGGCAGAAAGATGAGCATAAGGGATGTGCCAATACAATTTTAAGTTTAAATATTTTTTTAAGTTTTCCCTATGCCAAAATAAGAATCTGTCGATACTTACTTAGGTAATACTTGTTTAGAACACCAAATAGTTTTTAATTTTTTGTTTGCTTTCTACTAGAAAGCTTTTGAAAACAATTTCAAGTTCTTTGATTCGAGTCAGTCTACTTCTCATGAGGTTTAACATACACACATACTAATTCAAACTCTAAGCACTGATATTGGCCCAAAATAAAATAAACTTCAGTATTTATAAAGAAAAGAAGACATTGTCCAAAAGGTATGGAAGTCTTATGTATCTCTAAAACTCAAATTCAAAAATTATGCTTTAAAGGTATTATATACACCCTCAAATAAACATGTTCCTACCAGATGCTCAACGTAATACAGGTCAATTACTGCATACAGACCTAATGCAGTATGTTTTGTCATAGGAAGATACACAATATATTACATTAGCCATTTACTCAAAAGCCTAATAGGCAGTCAAAATAAATGAAAGTATCTTTTTAGTGCATTAACATATATAGCCAAATATTACATTTATTCGTGAAAAAAGGTGTCTATGTATTATCATTTAACTAAAGAATTTCATGTAAATAGGTGAGCAACTATTCTACTTGAGCCTACAACCAACAAGTACTCTTTCAGGATAACAGGAGTCTCAATACCCCCAAACCAACAGAAGTACTCTATTGAATTTTATTAAGTATAATTTGCTATGAATACCTTTTACCCGCCTTTAGCTGATTGGCAACATACTGAAGAAGACCGGCAAGATCAATTGGATATTTACGAAAAACTGCACCACAGAAACTAGCCAGACCTATATGAAATAAAAAAGGAGTAAAAACAACTCATAAAACAAAATGCACAAGTATCAGTTCTTCAACTAAACTTCTAAAACAAAATGAAGTAGGAATAATTGTATTGCTGATGCTATTGAATGGAGTTCCATAACAGTAACAATAACCAATATTTACTGAGCATAGATATATGTCAAGCACTGTACCAAGCACTTTATAATGATTATCTCATTTAATCCTTGCAACTATTATCTTAGGTTGGTATAACCTATTGATGAGGTAAATTCAGAACAGATATGTCATGTAACTTGCTCACAGTCACACAGTACGAAGTAGAGCAGTAAGTCAAATCTTTGCAGCCTGATTCCAGAGTTTGTGAAACTAAGATATAACAAAATCTTGCAGATCACTCAGTAAACCTGAATAAATGACAAAACGCCAGCCCCCTGAATGTGAGTCAAGAAAAAAAAATCTCTTTTTATCTAGGAACATGCCACTAGTTGTGGAGGTGCCAGAAAATAAGTAAAGTATTACCAGACCTAGAAGCAGACAAGAGACCAATTTTAACCAAAGGTCCTCATCATACCATGAATAGGGAGGAAACCGCAGCCAATAAAAGAGTAGGAGATTCTAGTAAAGTCAAGTACTCTGCAGCCTATTCCACAACTATTTGCTAAGCACCTAAATGATATTGGACAAAACACAAGTCCTGCCCTCAAGGAGCTGAGTCTAATGGAAGATACGGAAAAGCAGACAAATAACTATGATGAGCAAAAGGCTCCATGGGAATACAAAAGAGAAGCACCTAATTCAGACTTGTGGGTGGGAGCATTAACAGAAAAAGCTTTCCAGAGGAAGTGACCTCAAAGCTGAAATCTAATGAATAAACAGAACATGGAGTGGGCCATGAAGGATATTCCAAGTCACGTGAATAATGAGCAAAAGGTCATGGAAAGTACAAGAAGTTCAGCATTAATGAAATCTAGAATATCGGGAAGCAGGGAAAAGATGAGGATAGAACAGTGCAAAAGGACCTGATTTCAAAAGAACTTACTTGTATGACTTATTAAACATTTCGGACTTTAAAGGACAATGGGGAGTCACTGCAAGATTCCGCTATCAGATACAATAAGTTGAAAGAAAGGGAACTGGCTGCTAGAAACCAAAGGTACAAGAATTAAAAAGAAATATGGTTAGTTTTTTTGGTTAAACTAAGTCAAGTTTTTGCTCTTTTAAGATGACTGGAACCTCAGGATGGAATGGGAAGAAATGAGACTAACTCCCTTAAGATCAACTTCTATAAAATAATGTTAGTTAAAAATGAGATTTTCAGCTAGGCGCAGTGGCTCACGCCTGTAATCCCAGCACTTTGGGAGGCCGAGGTAGACAGATCACCTAAGGTCAGAAGTTCGAGACTAGCCTGGCCAACATAGTGAAACCCCGTCTCTACTGAAAATACAAAAATTAGCTGGGTGTGGTGACGCATACCTGTAATCCCAGCTACTCAGAAGGCTGAGGCAGGAGAGGTGCTAGAACCTGGGAAGCAGAGGCTGCAGTGAGCTGAGATTGCACCACTGCACTCCAGCCTGGACCACAGAGCGAGACCTCGTCTCAAAAAAATAAAATAAATTAAAAATAAAATAAAATGAAGGAGATTTTACCTCCCCAGTAATGCTTACCCAAATTGACTCTGATAGCAGAGTCAATAACGGTCTCTTAAGTTAGGAAAATAAACAAGAACTATATCAACCTCCTTACATAGCCAAGGACTCTACAGAACAAGCTTAGTAGCTAGATATTCTCAACAACTCTTAACAAATAGGCTTATAAAAGTCTCTAAGCATAGATAATAAAATACATAACATGGCAGTTACCACAGACAATAATTTCATCTTTCAAAAAATAAAAATACTTACTCTGAAGCCAGCTTGAAATGGTTGTGTCATCATGTTTCATTCTTTCCTTTTCTGGATTAGCTAAAGCTTCAATGATACAATCTTTCATATATTAAGAAAAAAACTAAGTCATTACATCTCTAATAAAGACCCTTAAAACATAAATATGCCACATCTTAAGGGCAAAACTATTGGTCATTACAAATTACTGTTCTTTTTTTTTTTTTTTTTTTTTTTAAGACCAGGGATGTTGCTAAAACAAATTCTTGAAAAATACACTCACTGTAGTACCAACATCTCTTCTTTAACCTCCTTTCCATCTTTCAGAAATCAAGATAGATTCCATCAATAACAAGATGTCTGGTAAGCCACCTGGGTACAGTGGCTCATGCACTTTGGAAGACCGAGGTGGGTGGATCACTTGAGGTCAGGAGTTCGAGATGACCCTGGCCAACCTGGTGAAACCCCATTTCTACAAAAACACAAAAATTAGCCAAGTGTGGTGGCACACACCTATAATCCCAGCTACTCGGAAAGCTGAGGCAAG